CTTAGTCTTTGAGTGATTTTCTCTAGAACCCTCCCTTGGCTTTGGGACCCCCACTGACCCACTCACTTCCCTCCTCTACAGGAAGAAGAAGGGATAATCTTTCTCCTTGAACTTCAAACTCCACCGAAAGTCAACTTCCTATCTACTCTCAAGGGACAGGGTCTTAGGGCCAGTTGGGGCAGCCCTCAGTCCTCTCTGCCAGGAAGAGGCTGACTCCCAACTGCTACAGGCTCTTTGAACTTGGACCTTGGGGTGCTTAGTACTTCTGTACTTGGCTGGGGCCTTAGATGCACTCGGTCACTTCCTTAGTCACTGTACTGTTCATTGTCTCCCAACTTATTTCTCTCCCAACTGTCTTAGTCCAATTGTGCTGTATAACAAAATACCATAGGCCAGGTAACTTATCAATACCAGGAATTCACTTCCTCATAGTTTTGGAGTCTGGGCGTCTACTGGCAGATTCGGTATCTGGTGACAGCTTCTCTCTGCTTCCGACACGGCGGCTTGTGGTGTCCTCACCGGCAGAAGACAGCAGGGCAGACTATGTAATCAGCATGCAGCATGTAGCGTCCTGTATTCTCAGCACATGGAGAAGTGCCCGGCATGAGCTAAGGCTCAGAAAATGTTTGCTGCATGAAACTCGTTTGTTACTTTGCCTTGGTGGTTATCTTAATGGAAAATGTCCACGTCTCCAACTGTCTGAGGCCATGCTTGTGCCATCACCAATCACGCTCCTAGCAGAGAGAAAGAATCTCATGAGAGTTATCAGCGACTTTCATCATACGCATCTAGTTTGTGCCCACGACCTGTCATGTTGTCTCCAGCCTTTGAAAACACAGAGGACATGAAAGTGGCCCCCTCTCCCTCACTGCACAAGAGCTGCCACCAAGACCACATAACAACGCCACACTACAAAGTGGCTCCAGAACAGCCCGGGCCAGCCGTCCCGCCACAGAGTGGTAAATACTTTCAAGCACGTCTTGGTTGAAACCATCGAGACTGAAATGCTTTGAAGGACTCAATAAGAAGGAATTCAAGGGACTCTTCAGCCAAATGGAAAAGCTCCTGGCCATAGGGAAAAACATCCGTGTCACCAATCTGGGAACTGGTGAGAGAGGAGAGAAGGGTGAGAGAGATGGCGATCCTGCAGCCTGCAGACGAAGTCCCAGGCTCTGTCAGCCAGATTTGGAGGTGAGAAATGACCCCCTCGTACTCCAGGGCTCACTTATGGGGGACCAATGGGTTTCCAGACTCTCAGGGAAAAGCAGAGACTTTTCAGGCTCAAGGAAGAGTCTTAGAAATGGATCAGAAATATGCCACAGTTACTCTGAGTTAGTCTGGTGTGTACAGTGCTTGTCTCTTACTCTGAGGTCACAATGGGGTCTGGGTCATTTCTTGGGACTGTCCATTTCTCCCAGATCATGACCCTCCCTTGGTGACTGACGCTCACTTAAATTCAATCCTAACACCGTCCTGAGACTAAATTAAACCCTAGTTGTATCCATTTATTCACCAGGCTTTGTTATTTTGCTGCAAGTGTGTTCAAAACCAAAAGTATTAGTAGAGAAAGTTACCAGGGTGGCAGGCTCTGAAGGCAGGCTCCGAACAGCTACCCCAAACTTCCACTCCAGCCCCACCTCGTTGGATACAAACCTGCACAAAAAGTTCTAGATAATATTTATGCTTCTCTTTGAGGATCTGTGTTATTAGTCCTCATCTAAACACATTTGTAAACATATCCTGACATGAGTCACATACACTATATCACAACAGATACGTAAATTGTGGTACCCTCCAATGATTATTTAAAAATTAAAATAAAACAATGAAGCGACCTTTATCTCAGTCAGAGAAAGCCAGGATCTCTCTGCCATCGATTGCTTAAATATATTCTGCACCTTTCAAGGACAATTGCTGAAGGAGAAAGTCAATATAAGATTTCCAACAAGTTAAGGGGGAAATACTGGTGCTGGGATCCCTACTCCTCGGAAGATGGTTTGGGGGCCAGGGAGGGGAGAGGCTGAGGCAGGTGGGGGGTCACATGAGCTAATCAAAAATAAAGAAAGATAAAGAATTAGAGATCAAAAGATTTCACACTGAAATAAAGAAGTCCATGTTGCCTTAAATATAATTTGTGTTAGTTACATTTCAATTCCTAGTTTATACATAGCAGAGTTGACAAAGAATTACATTATAACAAAATTAGCTGGAATAATTAGCATAGTGCATGTGCCACTGATTAAACACCCAGCAGATAGCTTGGTAATTAAGATCAGCGAGTGCCATATTTTGAGGCTTTGTCATCTTACTATCTGCCTAACAAGTGCTTCATCTTCACCTCCCTTCTGATTTGAAGTTTGATAGCAGTCTCTAATAATCCTCGTTTTATTTCTTTAAATTACCTTACCCCAATGCTGGTGGCTTTCCTGTGCTCACTGACTGCCCACCCTCTCTGCGTGTTTACACAAATGTGCTAGATTTCTTTCTAAATGTAAGGCATCGAATGCCATAAAGCATTTGTGCTTTGAAATTCAAGCTCAGAAGTCTCTTTCAAAACCACTAATTCTTTGGCCAAAGAAAGAATCAGCAGCCAGTGACACTCTGCAACTTGGTCACACATATGACGTGGAGACAATTCTGTTGAATTCACATCTCCTTTCTGGGCAGAGGCCATTGCCAGTGATTCTAAGAATGTCTTCATCTGGGCCCACTTTTCAGCCTCTGTGACACTGGAAGGTGGTCACTCAGGTGGCCCTGTCTGCTTGCTCATTAATGAGCCTCACCCGTGATGCCAGCACTTCTGCACTCAGGGAGTCTGAGGCTGGCAGCTGCCATTGCAAAGTTTATAGGGGTTTTATCATAGGAGGCAGGGAGTTAATGCGAGTATTATCAAAGCATAGAAGGCCTGGGGGTGGGGGGTCACTCACACTCTTCACCACTGGCTGAGCCACTCCTATTACATCTCTTTAGACTGAAGCCAGGACATTTCCATGACTTAAAGGCAGAGTGAGTACACCAGCTGTATTAACCAGGAATGCCTTCAGCTGCAAGTCACAGAAAACACACAAACAGTGCTTCAGGAATAAAGACGAGAAGTCTGGCGATTGGCAACCCAGAGCTGGGGCAGAGGTTCCCAAGTGCCACCTCCAGGCTCTTCCCTCTTTCTGTTCTGCTCTCCTTAGTGTGTTGATCCTTCAGCTCATGTCTGTTGCCTCATGGCTGTGATGTAGCTGCCACAGCTCCAGACATCATGACCATGTTCAAGGAAAGAAGAAAAGGAAAAGGAGGTACCAACCACTTCTGTCCCTCTCAACCAGGAAAGCAAATCACTTTCCAGACACTCCAGAGCAGGCCACACCTGCTCTCACTGGCCAGAAGTGGATTGCAAGGGAGGCTGGGACATCGACTGACCAGCAAAGGAGACCAGGACTGATATTACCAGCTTATACCAACATGATTCATCCCCAAGGGCCGAGAACGTTGCCTCAGCTAAGAAAACCCAGGCTCTGTTGGGCAGGTGGAAGGAGAATGGGTATTGGGCAGGAACTTCAGTCTCTGGCACGTCAAATGCAGATGGAACAGGATCTGCACAGTCACACCCAGGAGCTGAGAGGAGGAGGGGTGGACTCGTCAGGTTCTCCAGAGAAACAAAATGGAGACAGAGGACATTTATTCCAAGGAATTGGCTCATGTGATTGGGAGACCTGGTAAGTCTAATATCTGCAAGGTAGGCCAGCAGGAAAGAGTTGCAGTTTGAGTCCAAAGGCCATCAGCTGGCAGAATTCTTTCTTGCTCGGAAGAGGTCAGTCTTTGTTTTATTCAAGCCTTTGGCTGGTTGGAGGAGGCCCCCCCACAGTACTCAGAATCCACTGATGTAAAAAATGTTAATCTCATCAAAAAAACACCTGCATAGAAACATCCAGAATAATGTCTGAGCAATATCTGAGTGTCATGGCCCAGCCAAGTTGGCACATAAAATTAATCACAAGTGGAGAAGAGAGAAAGTAAAAAAGGAGAAAGGGATGGGATTGGGACATGAGGTGGCGGAGACTGTATAAAAGCTACATGGCACATGCTGGGTCCCTCAGAGACCTCAGCACACATGGTAATAGCAGGGAAACTGCTGGAGCAGCTGCATTTGTGCATGCATTGTCAGGAGACCCAGGAACACTAGAGACAGAGGCTGAGGAAAAAGTCCACCCCACCCCCAGGAGGGCACAGAAATCAACATGAGCAACTTTGCATTTCCACGGGTCACGGGGTTTTGTGCTGGGAGCCAAGTTTACCAGCCGTGAGGGGTGGGGAGGCCGCAGCTCGTATTCGGGTTCCTCTCTTGGTTCGCTCGTGTGATGCTTTGTCTTCCTGAGACCAGCCAGTCTACCTCTCAATCTGGAAACCAAAGATTCTGCTGCATTCTATTCAGGTCAAGACATGTCCAATTTGCAGGCGGCGGCTCCCCTTTCAGAGGAGGTGAGGGCGTGTGGTGCAGCGTTAGAGAGCGCGGCTTGTGACAGAACAGAGGTGCCAAGCCAACCTCGGGACAAGGTTTTGAAAGTTTCAGTTTAGAGCCTCACATTTGATAAAAGAAGAATTATTCAACAATACCTAGGGGACTGTTCTTTTTAAATGGTGTCCCGTCTTCTTCTCCCCCTCACAAACATGTCTATGTCCCCTTCTCTAGAAGAATCCTTCTTCCCTGAGGCCTTTGCAAAGATGACTTCATGTCGCCCTGGCAGCCAGTGGCTCTCCCCTAACTGTAACAGGAGCCGCGTCTCTTCTATTTATAGCCACGGCCACGCCACTCTTGGGGACAGCTGCTAACCTTGGACTCGGTTTAGAAGAAGCGAGGAAGGTTGGTCAATACACAAACGACATTGCAATGTCCAGCTCTGATTACCTTCCTGACTACCCGCTCAACTCAGATTTAGTGAAAAGATTAAAGTCCGCCCTGGATGCCAGGGATGAGGGGACGGTGCAGGATTTGATCTGCACTGAAGTGAAGCCCGTGGACGCCGTGATAGAACTGGCCAACGACGACTGGATGAAAGACCCTGCGGCTCAGCTGCCCCCCGGCGTGCTGCTAGGTAACCAGAAAGTCTGCTGCCCTCCAGCAGGACTGCTAGTGACGGGCAGGGGTGGGCCACTCCCGCGGGTAGAGGGCAAACGGTGGACGCTGGGACCCGACTCTCATGCGTGCACGCATCCACACACACTGTGTACACAAGTACAGCACAACACAGAAACAATTCTTAACAGAAAAATTAATCATTGGTGCCACCTTCCTGACATAGCAGCTGTCCTCATGTCCCCGTTTTCTTCCAAGCTTGTCCCTGTGCATGTGGAAATTTCACCTACGCATAACCACACCCTAGACATAATTTTTGTCCTCTGCTCTCAGGAAATCTAAAAAATCTAAATCTAAAGTACTTTCCATGTTGCTACATATTTCTCATTTCAGTCACCTATTGAGGTGATTAATCACAAATACTTAAGCCAAATGCCTACAGGAGGAGGGGATTTGTTTACATTTTTACTATTATAAATGATGCTGTAATTAGCATCTTTATTAGCATTTGTATGTCTTTTTTCTTATTTGGGGTTACAGCCTTAGGATAAATTCCTAAAAGAGGTGTTACTGGAACAAGAATGTAAAATTTTCTTGCAGTACATTTCCACGTCGTGTTCCAGAAGGATTTCTATTCCCTCTGGCTGTGAGGGAATGTGTTTCACCAGAACCTTATCCACAATGAGCATTGCCGGTGATGAATATCCACATTTCAATGGCAGATTTAATAAGTGTAGCTGGTAATTCTTCACTACCCGCTTGCCCATCCTGGCTTCACTGGTTGGGACCAAGTCTTGTCCACAGGATTTTGTTCTTCTGTGGAGGCCTCTTCACGTGCGACTTGTCTATTTGGGTCCCTGAGAAAGCAGTATCTCCCCATCTCTTTGAATCTTTCTTGTCATTTTGTGGGACTTCTTCAAATACCATAGATATAACCCCTTTGTTGTACTTGCTGAAAGTGTTTTCCCTGACTATGATCTACTTTTAATTGCATTATGCTGTTTTCTAGCATGTCAAGTGTGCCCCCACAGTGTCAGTCCAGGATGTTGAGGGCTCCTCCCCACCCACTAGACAGACACCCTTCTGACACATGTGCATGTATGTGCAGACATGCACGCACAGGTACGTGCTCACACATGCATGCATGCACACACGTGTGCACAACATGCAGGAGCAGCACGATAGGAAACCCACATGGGACGCTGATACTAGGGAACGGAGCTGTGCGTGTGATGCAGAGAGCAGCCCGAGACTGGAGCGTCAGGGGGATCCGTGACGTGGGGAGCTGTGCGTGTGATGCAGAGAGCAGCCCGAGACTGGAGCGTCAGGGGGATCCGTGACGTCGGGAGTACTTCCCAGGCTGCCTCTCAGCGGGGACTTAAGCACACTGCTGTGGGCTTTAGGGAGACAGCTGCTCCCATTGCTTCTTTACCTTGGTTTTCCTAATATCTGGGGTCCATGGGTTCAGGAGCCATGATGCAAAACTTGGTACATCCCATCTCTTCAGGAGTGCCCTGGGGGGCGCGGGGGGCAGAATCGGTTGGGGTGTTGAGCTACAGAGTTTGCATCTGCTGCAATCCAGCCCTGCCCTGCCCCAGCCCACCCCAGGAGGCTGATCTTTGTGAGCTGCATCAATCCACCTCTTGCCCTCTGACTCTTGTTGGGTGCAGCTGATGGAAGGTGCTAGAAGAAGAGAAGGCAGGGTATCTGCTCCAGATCGCTGTTGGGGTTTAGCAACAACTTCCTGCTGAGGCTCCACTCCTGGCTGGCACTTCCTACCTCCTTGCTGGTCCCTCCAGGCACAGGGATGGGAAAGGCCTCTGCCTGTGGCTGCTGCCACCCTAGCTTATTTCTCTCTCCCTGCCCACCTTCATCACGCCCTGTGTTCAGCCGCCTGCTTTCTGCTGGGCTTCTGACTGGAGCAAGCATCCTCACTACACATCTCCCTTTGCAAATCTGTCCCAGTCCGTTGCTGATTCATGTGTTTGGAATCCTCAATCTGAAATGTTATTTCTTTTCACATTACTAATTGCCTTGCAAAATCTTTACTGTCCCCATCACTGTACTGAACACTTGAAAGCAATGAAATTTGAGTTAGGAAAGTTACATTCTCTTCCACAATGAATCCATTAAGTGATAAATTATATACATATGTACTTTTCCCTACTAAATGATACAATTCGGGAGGACAGGGGCAATTTGATGCTGATGACATATTTTAAGTGCTTGGGTCTGTTCCGATTGTTTCATCTCAGGCTGATTGTGAGCTAAATGAATAAGCGTGTGATCCCAGAGCGCATCTTGTTGTCAATGATTTTATTACAGAGAAAGCAGGCTGGACCTCATCCCCAGGGCTGAGGCAGCAACGTGGTCAGACCTGCATTTTGGGTGTGCTGCTCTGGCTAAGATGAGACAACAGGATTTGAAGGAGACAAGGAAAGGGTAGGAGAGTAAGTCTGGTTAGGAGGTGGTTGGAGGCAGTTGCACAGGTGAGACAGCAAGGGTCTAAGCCAACGCAGTGGGACAGACACAAAGTATAGTGACAAAAGGAGAAATATTTAGGAGTGCAGCAGGTAAGTCTTGGTGATAGAGGACAGTGCCACCAGCTAAGATAGAAAATAAAGGAATCTTCATGGGGGGGAGCTTGCAAAAAAAAAAAGAAAAGAAAAGAAAATAGAGGAATCTATGATTATGACAATTTACTGAGTTGTGATTCTGTGCATAGCAGTGTGGAAAGTGAAGAATATGAGCACGTACAACACACATAACTCCCTCCCAGGAGTGCTCAGCCCAGTCGACATCACCACGGGCGGGTTCTGACCCACCAGGCGAGGCACCAGCCATGAGTGAGAGGCTTGGAGTCAAGCCTGGACTCTGCTGCCAACAAGCTGTGTGACCTCGGAAAGTTACTTACCCTCTCTGGGCCAGTATCGTCACCTATTAACTAGGGTATGAAACTAGATTAGTGCTTCCCAAACAGAGGTCTGCAAGCTTCCTGAGAAAAGCTCCATAGCAGAAGGAGCTTGGGGATGGCTCCCTGCGGGGTCCCACTCTCAGAGACTGGCACAGGGCGTCTGAAAGGCTCAGAGTGCTCACACCACAAAGGGACTTAAGAACGGCAATTGCACTTGGTGTGGTTTCTTATCTGACCCCAGAACTGTGCTTTCACGTCTGCTGACGACAGGTGGAATCGGTGATTTGCAGACACTCTTGGGAACCGCTGGCTTGGATTGTCCTGTAGGGTCCTTCCTTCTTCATGCTTCTCTGAGGCCATGATCCCAAAGACTCACTGTCACTAAAATGGGCATGTGTTCCTTTTCTCTGAGTGCAGGAGTGAATGGTCTCTTTCTCAAGGTAAGCCCAAATCCTCGGGCACATCCCTGATAGAACAAGAGCTGTGTGGACTCAAATGTACATGTGGTGTCTTCAGAATTTTTGAACAGTGGTTACAATTGGTGGCAATAGCCTTGAAATGCAGCCCGTATGGAGTGGGCACTGTACAGAATCTAGATCCTTGGGAGGATGAGTGCAAAGCACTAAGCAAGAAAACAGGCCGGGCCAGGCCAGGGGGTGGAGCCGGGGACACCCCCCAGGCCTGAAGGGCACGAGCCCAGCGTCATGCTGGCAAAAGTATTCTGGGGAAAGAAGAGGGACGAGTTTTCCATCCCAAAGACAATCCTGGTTGACAGAATTCCAGGTATCGTCCAAAAGATGACAATGTGCAAAAGTAAGAAAAAGTGACGATTCTGTCTGCTTAACACAAACACGCAAGGACCTTGCGTCTCGCTGCGGAATCACCATGCTCACCGGCCTGCAAACTTATATTCCCACCAAGTGGAAGAGAAGAAAAAATAATTTATTTCAAAGCGTCCAGGTCAGCATCACAAAAAAGGCATAGAGAGAAAGAGGCACCAGCTGTGAAAATGCTGGAAACGGCTTTTTCTGGAGAAGCCCCCTCAGGCACACATATGCCCCCTTTGTGCAGGCAGAAGACAAAGGGACTGAAAAATCCAGCCCCAGCAGATAATGGGGCAAAGTGCAGAATATACCCGAATATCCCCTCCTGAGGTGGGCATCGGGCAGGAGACTAGTTCATCAGTCAGGACTCCCTTAAGGAGGAGACTCACCCGAGCCCTTGCAAAGACACCTGCTCTGCCGCAAGGATGGATGCGGGATGCCTGGCAGGATGCTGGGAAGGGCCTGGAAGCTTCTAAGCGACACTCAGCCACCCAGTCAGACCCACCCGGCTCTGGACTGCCCTCTGCTTCAGTCACCCACGTGAGGAACCTGGGTCCTTCCCGTGTTGTTGACTCAGTGCTCCTCCTGAGGAGCCCCTCGATTCACAGCTCAGCCCTGGCATGGGGTCTGGGGCCTACCAGCCCGTGTGTGTGAGAGAGGACGGGGCTGAGCCTCCAGCTCCACCTAACAGGAGCCCCAGCCAGGACTAAACCTCTTTTGCTCACCTCTGCTATCCTATCCTATCACCTCCACTGCAAGGCTGCTCCTGCCCACCTGGGCAGCAACCTCACCTCTTTCCTCCATGAGGGCATAATGCCCTTTGTCTCTATTTGTTACCGAAATACGTGGTCTTCCTGGGCTACTTTTTAAACACCCACCGGATATTTCAAACTCAAATACAACCTCCTCCAGAGCAAGAAGCTTGATTGTATGGATGAAGAGCCTAGCCCGGGGTCTCAGCCCTGAGAAGCTCAAAGTCTGGGTGCAGTGGTTGGCATGGGCTGGCCAAGCTCCTTTGCTAACATTCAGCTGGGTGGGCACAAATGCATTTCCACAGAGACTACTGGGATTAATTTTTCTGCAAAGAAATATGTAACTCTACTTTCTGCTAAAGACACGTCTCTACTGTTTAATATTAGCAACAGTTGCATTATTCATCCTCGCCTCTTTCCAATACCAATCGGCTCACTAGCCACAGGGAACCCAGAGAGGGAGAAAGGACGGCTGCGGGAGGGTGGCGAGACTATCTTGCCCCCCAAACGCATCAACTGTACAATTTGG